TTTATAAAACAATAAATGTAAAATAAAATAATTCATAGTAATTATTTTGTTTCATAAGTTAATTTAAAATTTTTTGCCTCTTCTAATGTTTTAAATCTTTTATATTTACGTTTACCATCTTCCTGATATTGAAATTTCCATCTTTTACGACTTTTATCAAAACTTATTCCATTATAACCACTAGTATTACGTTTTGATAATTTACGAATAACTTGCTTTCTTCTTGGAAATATATTTGAAAGATTACAATCTCTATTATCAAAACCGATTCTATTAATATGGTAAATTTTATTATAATCAGGACAGATTAATTGATGAAATTGTAATATTTTATGAACATTATTTTCTTTAATAGTTGTCCAGATATAATATGTATTATAATTATTCTTTTTAATGCAATACCAAGTATATTTTTTCAAAAGATTAATATGATCAAGATCACACAAAAATGTAATATCAATAAATTGTGTTTTAACTTCTAAATATAGTTTATAGTTAATTTTCACAAAACGATATTCATTTAATTTAAGATTTTTGGTTGATGAATCAGAATATTTCTCCCAATGACTAATAACTTCATATTTTTCTTTAAAATAATGTTTCCAATATTTACTTGGTTCCATTTTGATTTTTTTTAGTATTATAGAATAACCAGATATTTTAATATTTTTTATTAATTAATAATAATAGTTATTGAAAATAGTTTAATAACATTTTTTTCTTTATTGTTTATTAAAAATACTATTTTTTTTATTGATTTAAATAAAACAATATTAATAAAAGAAATTAATAATTTTACAAATAAAATTAATAAGTACTAATTATTACATTGAAATTAGTAAATATATTAAACAATATATTTTCAATACTTATTATTCGTAAACTTTATTACTAAATTATTTTATCTACAATTTAATAATTTCTTATAATTCTATTTTTTTTTATTCATTCGTTCATTTCAATTTTCAAAGTTCAATTTCTCTATTTCTCCATTTCCAATTGGCCCACATTTTGTTTCTTTCTGTGAAAGAAAGCCAGCGGCAGCAATTTCAAGGGGATTGCACTCTCACAGCGAAGCTGGGAGCTGCCAAGAGCCTATCCGGCTCTGGAGGATGAAAGAGAATATAACAAAAACGTCGAAGCATAGCGAAGATGGCGTTTGTTATATTCCTCAAACAAGTATAAAATACGTGTTTGAGTTTAAATAAAATTAATAATAAATTAAATTATTAGTAATAGAAAAAATTATAAAAATACAATATTTCATTTTTAAATTCATTATTAAAATCAAAAATGTCTTTATATTGTAATATTTGTGATATAAAAAATGATCATAAAACAATTTCTTGTTTAAAAACTCAATGCAAAATATGCCAAGGATATGGTCATATAAATATTTATTGTCCTACGATGCCTTGTCGTGTTTGTAATGTTCAGACACATATATTATCAAGTTGCAAATATGAAAATGTATATTCAAAAAATTTTATTTATTCAAAAACAAAAAATGGATTTTTAGGATGTGGATGTTTGCAAGAAAGAATTTTATCAAGAAGAAAAGAAATTAAAGAATACCAACCTTTAATGTCAAAAGGTCGAATATATCATTGTTGTAAATGTGCTGATAATATTTCAGTGGAAAAAATTATAGAAGATAATAATATATTTTATTGTAAAGGATGCTATAAAGTCTTTATAGAAAACTTACCAAATAATGATCAAAGAAAAATTGAATATATGCAAAGTTCAGAATATCAAAGAGATATTGTAATATGTCGTCTTTGTAATAAAACACATCATAGAGTTTATTTTGTTGAAGGTGCAGGTGATTTTTGTGATAGACATCATCAAATTGCATATTTAGTATCTGAAGATATAGAAAATCCAAATAAAAGTTTATGGACACGAATTATCCATAGAACAGAATCAAGTAGAACTAAGATGTCAGCATATCCATTAAATCAATCAGCTATTATGAGAATAGTTTTAAGATATAAAAATGCTATATCAATTACTTTTGAAGAAGCATTAAAAGAACAAATTGGAGATATATGGAATAGTGCAGGAACAACTGATGATAATGATGATTGGAATGCAGAAGATTATAGATTTACAAGAGTAATAGATAATTTAAATATCTCATCTGAACAAGAACTTGAAAAACAAAGATTAAGAAAATTAATATTAGAATCATTTGATTTTAGTTCTAATATTGATATTGAAGAAATTTTAAATGGTTTGTATGATCGATTTGGTGGAAATTTACAAAATATTACATTTTGTAAAAGTTGTTGGTTAGTTATTAAAAATGCAAAAGATGATTTATGTGATCCTTGTTATCAAGAGTTTAATAATATTATAGAAGATAATTATAATAATATTAATAATAATGAAAATTTAATTAATAACAAAATTATCGAATTGGAAAATAAAATAATAGAATTAAGTATTCAATTAAATGAATTAAAAAGGGAATCTGAAATTAATAGACAAAATGCAGAAAAATATAAAGCTCCATTTGAAATGATGAAAAAT